GGTCCCTGCCACTCATGTGGAAGACTAGCATGAGCTTCTGACTCCTGAGTCTTTAACCTGGCTCAGCCTTGGCCTTTACAGTCAATTGGGAAAAGAACCAATGAATGAGAAATCCTTCTCTATCTGTCTGTCTCTACTCTTTATATAACGTAAAGAAATGATTTAAAAATATTTTGGAGGAGAAGATACTTTGAGATAACAAGGATCATGAAGAAACTGATGGGGGGTGACAATGATGGGGTAGGGGTGGTCAAGAAAAACCAGAGAAGATGACATTTGGGCAGAATCTCTGGTTTCACCTTGCTTGCCTCTCTGAAGTGATTTAACTACATCACACTCCACCCCTTGGGTACAAAAGTGGACATTTGGACAGAGGGGCAACACCTGGCAGGATGGTCAGGTCATCTGTCAACCAAAAGACAGAATGGAACCCCCTGGCTACTTCAGGACCTCTGTAAAACCAGCAGTTAGACATTGGACATGTGAATGCATCCTCAACCAGCCTGTGGACTTTTCCATCTTACAAACAGATGCTTTACCCCAAAATGTGAGTTCAGTGCTTGAGAGTGAAGTGCTTGAGAAAATGGCTCCCATTGTCACTGTGGTTCAAATGACCGCCAGGAACAAAATGTGCTTGGCAGATACAATATAAAGGAAAGCGATGGTGCTCAACAGCCTCTCTGCTTGATTTTCAGCAACTGTGATCCCTGGGACAGCTTCAGCAGGGAGAAATTATGGGTTGAAAATTGTAGCTACTTCTCCCCCCATGCATCTCCCTGAGTGCCTCATTTCCCACCCTCAGCTCCCTGGCAAAGCCCACACTAAGATCTATGTTGAAGAAAAAAAAAAAAGCAGGTAGCTGTTATTAGTAGTTGGTCTATGTTCAGTTCTCTGTCCCAGGTACCAGCTCCTCAACATGGTCCTCAGGGATAAAGTCATTCTCACATCAAAACATAGAGGAGCTTGCAGAGGCCCCCAAACAGCTCCTCAATACCAAGTCACACCTACAGGAAGCAGTGCCTCAAGCATGAGACTAAGCCAGTTGCTCCCCCTGATTCTTCAGTGAGCCATCAACCACCAAGGGGACATCTTTGGGCTCAGAGAGTTGCCCAAGATCACCCAGGGACCCAAGGTCACACCTGTCAGGTCGTGGAGGGGGAGGGGTGCATCAAGAAGGTGAACTAGACTAAGCTGACTACTAGACATCCCCCAAAATTGCAGCAGGTGAAGACAAGAGCAGCTCATTTCCTGCCCAGCCTTTGTGTCCAGTGGGAAGGGATGGGGGTTGGGGTGCGGTGTCAGGGGAGGCTCTGTTCCTAGCTTCCACCATCACTCAGGCAGGAAAAGGAACCTGGTGACTTGAACAATGGCTCTGAAAGCATCTGCCCAAACTGCCACATGTCACTGTGTGTGGCTCATGTGTTTTCCAGCTAGGCGAGTCACAAGGCCACACCTGATCATGGGGAGCGGGAAAGTGCTGGGTCTCTTCGGCAACCCTGCCCTAATGATTTCTCTACCAGGCCTGGGAAGAGGAGCACAAATTTTATTCTAGCCTTTTCTACGAGATGTGCAGTGACTGGGAAAGCTCAGATTTTTTTTTTCCCCTCCTCCTATTGATCTTCGCTTTTGGTTTATTTGCCACTGAAAATGAAGCATCAAGAGAGACAGACCTTGTCTAACCAGACCTTTTTTTTTTTTATCAGTGGCTTTGTCAGAGCTGGAGCCGAGGTCTGTAGGAATCTTACTGCATGTTTAGCTCATTTAGCTGCTGGTTGAAGTCGCAGTAGATCTCAGGTCATCTTGGAAGTCAGCAGGAACGCAAAACCTCTATCTTCCAGATTGGGTCTGAATATTTAAGACTTTGAAAGCTTGGCTGGGACCAGATTTGATTTTAAAAGGGGAAAAGGGTTGTTGCTTTTGAACTTGAAGAAGAAAGCTGGAGGCGCAGCAGGGGCTGCATTAGCAAAGGGAAAAGCAAAAAGACCCTGTGGCCTTGAAAGAAACGCTCCAGAGAGAAAATGCTAAAGCCTGTAGTTGGTGAGCCTTCAATCAGACTTCAGAAGTGCCGCTAGTTAAATATTGTTTATAGGACTAAAGCATTGCTCCATCTTCCTCAGGCTGGGTTTTAAATATTCCCTAATTTGATTACTCAGGGGAGAGGCAGGCAGAACCAACTCAAATGAGTTTCACTGTTAATTATTCAGAGGGCTCTTTATTGTGTAATCAAACATAAAGTCTTACAAAAAGCTTGGAGACCCATTCTCACCCCACCCTTCCCACGCCTGCTTCCTCCACCTTGGGGTCTGTTACGCTTTTCCTGAGTTGTGGAAGTGGTTGGCAGATTGTTCAGCAAGGTACTGGTGGGTGAGGGGGAGACACCCCCATCCCCATTGGATTCTGCATTGGTTGTGTACCATCCCCCTGCCCTCTCCTCCCCACCCCAACCCACCCCCATGCCATGAGAAGTCAGCATTAAGTAAGATTTGTCTTGATCACTTTGGGCCTAATGTGTCTGAGTACCTCCCCCACACCAGCAGCACTTGGCAGCCCCTGACAAGTCTAAACTTCCCTGCACACCCTGCCCCACCTCCCATCTACACTGGTTTTCTTCTCATTTCCTCAAATGCTCTGTGCTAAATGAGAGCCTGCCAAATGATTAAAGGGATTCCAACGAATTAAAATGCATTCTGTAGAGAAAAGGAAGACACAGAAGGGATGGGTACATGGACAGCTAAATGGACAGATAAATACACATAAGGATGGATTAATACACATTGATGGGTGGGTAGAAGGCTAGAGGGAAGTATGGATGGGTAGATTCACATGTGGGTACGTGGATGGAGTGACGGACAGGGAGAGGGCTTGCTAGGCAATTGGTTAGGTAGATAGATGGAGAGGTGGACAAGTGGCTGGTTGGCTGGCTGGCTGGACAAAGAGGTGGGTGAGTGAGTAGATGGGTAGAAAGAAGGAAGGATGGATAGACAGATGGACAGGCAGGTGGATGTGTATATAGATGGATAGATGGACAGTAGGTAAATAGATGGGCTGACTGACACGTGGCAGCTGGATGACAGGTGAGCAGGTGGACAAAAGGATGGATGGTTAGAGTGACTAAGAGCCAATCAACCGAGATGTAACGGTAGTTGAGAGATCACACTTTAACATGCCCCGTTTGCTTGTCAGTAAAGATGCCTGATCCTACAGCCTTCTGTCCAAAATCCAAAAGGTTCTGAAAACCCGCTATTTTTTTTTTCCAGTTAATCTGGCAGTAACGGACATGAACAAAATGGGTTCAGAAGCAGCACTTCAAGCTATTTATTGGTTTTTTTTCCCCCACCTGATGTAAATGCTTCATATTCATGTGTTATGCACATATTAACCTGGAGAGATTATGCTAATATGTATAAATGCAGTCCCATTTCTATTCCAAAATAGCAAAGTTTGTAAATTTGGCAATATGCAAGCCTACTTCTGAATGTTTTGGGGAAAATGAAAAATCTACACTTATTTTGGTGCAAAGAAGTTTTCAAAATTCATGAGTGGTTTCATAATGTGCCTTCCCCATGAACTGTGTGAAGACCCCTTGAGCTTCAGATAAGGAGTTTTAGGCATGTTTCCCATGGAGCCTATTGTGTTCGATCCAGAAAATCTACCATCAGTGAGAGGAGGATCAGGTTTTGGGGAGCCAGAGCACATTTCACTGGGGGAAGGGAAGGGTGCTTTAAGAAAAGGAAAATAGGGCCTGGCATGGTAGCCTAGTGGCTAAATCCTTGCTTACATGCGCAAGGATCCCATATGGGTACCAGTTTGTTTTCCTGATGCTCTGCTTCCCATCCAGCTCCCAGCTTGTGGCCTGGGAAAGCAGTCTAGGACAGCCCAAAGCCTTGGGACCCTGCACCCGTGTGGGAGACCTGGAAGAAGCTCCTGGCTCCTGCTTCAGATAGGTTGAGCTCCAGCCATTGTGGCCACTTCGGTTGTGGACCAACAGACAGAAGATCTTTCTGTCTCTCCTCTCTGTAAATCTGACTTTCCAGTAAAAATCAATCTTTAAAAAAAAAAAAAGGAAAGGAATGTAATGTAACAGAAAAGTAGACCAAAGGACTTGGAGGAGGAGCCTACACAGCTCAGAGGCTAAAGATTTAACTTTGTTGGTTCCCTTAAAATCTGCCTCTGAGTGAAGGACTTCTCTCTGAGTTTGTTTTCACAATATAGATCGCAGTGATTGCAGTGATTCTTTACCAACAAAGAGAAGCATCCTTTAAAAAATTCATTTGTGGATTTATTTGAAAGATAGAGTTATAAGGACAGAAAGAGGAGAGACAGAGATCTTCCATCTGCTGGTTCACTCCCCAGATGGCTGCAACAGCTAGGGCTGGACCAGGTCAAAGTCAGGAGCCACAAGCTGCTTCTGGGTCTCCCTTGTGGGTGGCAGGGACCCAAGCACCTGGGCCATCTTTTGCTACTTTCCCAGGTGCATTAGCAGGAAACTGGATCAGAAGTGGAGCAGCTAGATCTGAATGGGATGCAGGTGTCTCAGGCGGTGCCACAATGCCAGCCCAAGAACGAGCTTGCATGTAGCTTCATGGAGACCTTTTGCTCAATAAGCCTCACTCTGATGATCCTCAGTGTGCAATTCATTGCGCCAACTGCCTCAAACTGAGGTGTTCCTATCTGACAATGGAACCCTTAGGTAACAGAAGACACGGAGATTCACAAAGGCACACACTACCACACTTCTCCATCCAGTGCCAGGAGTCATTGCGTAGTTGCCCCCAGTCCATTACAGGACCCGTGTCCACAACACAGATGGATGCACACACTCACCTCCCTCAGCCCCGCTGGGCAGCACTGCCACCTACTCCACCCAATATGGAAAGGAGGGGGAGCGCCGTCCCAGACTCCAGACACCATTCCTCCCCTCCCTACCTCATTTACTTAGAGAACTTGGACTGAACCGAGGCTCCGGAAATGGAACACTCACTAAGCTGTCTCTCACGCAGGGACCCAGGTGGAAGCAAGAACACGGTAAAGAAAATCAATAAGGACAAGTACATGGGACAGCGGTGGGATCACTTCCTCACAGCACCCAAGGTGAGCACCCACTCTGAGCAGGACCCTCTGGGCTTCCGGACTCACGCTCATGAGCGAGTGTGTGGGGGTGTGTTAGGGTGTGGGGTGCTTTCGCCAGTCCTTCCTCTGATGAGAATCTTATTTTTCCAGTTGGTTCTCAGTGTGAAGGCGAGTCAGACCGCATCGTGCTGGATGGTCTGTGTAGATTTTAATTAAAACAGTTACCTGAGGATTATAGGGGAAATGACATTTGGCTGGACACTACTTGATGGAGAAGGGAGGGAGTGCTGACTGGCTGCTTAATAAGATGTCACCAGAAGGAAATGGACTCACCTCGCCCAGCTTTAAATCAATAACCTCTCTCTCTCTCTCTCTCTCTCTCTCTCTCTCTCTCTCTCTCTGACACACACACACACACACACACACACACACACACACACACACACACACACACACACACACACACACACAGAGTAAAAAGTGAGTGAGTGAGCAGACAGGCTTTTTCTACCCCCTGGAACATCAGGACTGCCCCCACACCTCCCAGCTTATCCCCCGACAGACCAGCACCAGGATGCTGATGGGGGACAACAAGAGGTCCTGATGCCCAGGCAGATGGAGGTGGCCGGGCAGCCCCCAGCCACCCAATGGCAGTGTTTGCTCACCCTGTCTCTTGCCCAGATACAAAGGTGATGTTTGTCCCCTCACAGCCCTGGCAAAGGGATCCAGGAAGCAAACTCACTTGGCGCCATGAGAGGGGTGTCACTTTCAGGGACCACTTTGCAGCATGATGACAGTGGATCTACTCATGTGAGAAGCAAGCTCTTGGGTGCTTCAGAAAGTTCATGGGGGATAAAACATGTTTCAAAAAAAGCACAGAGAAACACAGTGAGAGCCACAGATCTTTTAAACAACAACAACAACAAAAGTTCTTTTGGAACATTCATAGCCAGAGTTCAGAGAGGGAAAGCAAGTGGCTGGACCTGAACGGGGGCAGAACTGAACGTGTGGGCCAAGCAGTCAGCTGCAGCATGGTCCACTCTGGGCTGAGGGTGGGAAAGTACAGGTGTCTGTGTGGCCCTGGGCAAGTCCCTCCCCAGTCCTGCCCTCAGGTTCTGCATCTGTGAAAATGCTGGGAGGCTCCAGCCCCTGGTTTTCCAAGGAGTAGAAAATAGTTTGTTAGTTTGGGGGGAGGGGGCGTCCGGGGGGATTCCTAAGGACCAGGTCACAAGCACTCCGGAAAAGTCAGGGCAGGGTTGGGGGGCTGCGGGATGGAGCATAGCAGGGAGTGGTGAGGTCTGTGGCATACCACACACTTCTGTACAGCTGAAGGAAGACCCTCCACTGAGCCCCCCAGCTCATTTTACCATGTGAGATGGGCAACCCAGGGCTTGTGCATTTCAAAAGAAATCAAACAAGTAGGATTTTTTGTTGTTGTTGTTGTTCTAAAGGGAATTTTGCCCTCTGGTAAATTCTGGAGTAGCTCAACAAGTCTCCTGGCCCTGCCCCTCCCATGGGCCCCTCCCATGGGCCCCTCCCATGGGCCCCTCCCATGGGCCCCTCCCATGGGCCCCTCCCATGGGCCCCTCCCATGTCCCACCCCCTCCCATGGGCCCCTCCCATGGGCCCCTCCCATGGGCCCCTCCCATGGCCCACCCCTCCCATGGGCCCCCCCCATGGGCCCCTCCCATGGGCCCCTCCCATGTCCCACCCCCTCCCATGGCCCCTCCCATGTCCCACCCCCTCCCATGGCCCCTCCCATGTCCCACCCCCTCCCATGGGCCCCTCCCATGTCCCACCCCCTCCCATGGGCCCCTCCCATGTCCCACCCCCTCCCATGGGCCCCTCCCATGTCCCACCCCCTCCCATGGGCCCCTCCCATGTCCCACCCCCTCCCATGGGCCCCTCCCATGTCCCACCCCCTCCCATGGCCCCTCCCATGTCCCACCCCCTCCCATGGCCCCTCCCATGTCCCACCCCCTCCCATGGCCCCCCATGTCCACCCCCTCCCATGGCCCCTCCCATGTCCCACCCCCTCCCATGGGCCCCTCCCATGTCCCACCCCCTCCCATGGGCCCCTCCCATGTCCCACCCCCTCCCATGGGCCCCTCCCATGTCCCACCCCCTCCCATGGCCCCTCCCATGTCCCACCCCCTCCCATGGGCCCCTCCCATGCCCACCCCTCCCATGGCCCCTCCCATGTCCCACCCCCTCCCATGGGCCCCTCCCATGTCCCACCCCCTCCCATGGCCCCTCCCACGTCCCACCCCCTCCCATGGCCCCTCCCACGCCCACCCCCTCCCATGGCCCCTCCCACGGCCCACCCCCTCCCATGGCCCCTCCCACGGCCCACCCCCTCCCATGGCCCCTCCCATGGCCCACCCCCTCCCATGGCCCCTCCCATGGCCCACCCCCTCCCATAGGCCCCTCCCATGTCCCACCCCCTCCCATAGGCCCCTCCCATTCCCCACCCCCTCCCATAGGCCCCTCCCATTCCCCACCCCCTCCCATAGGCCCCTCCCATTCCCCACCCCCTCCCATAGGCCCCTCTCATCCCCCCCATGGGCCACCCCTGCCTCTCAGGAAGCACAAGGCACCACTAGGGGGCGACCTCTCCCTGTGTTGACCAAGGCTCCAGCTCCGGCAAGGTGGAACATGGCAGCAGCTGGTTAGCTGGTTAGCTGGTTAGCAGGGCTCCCGAGCAGAGTGTAAGGACAGAGATGTGTTTGAGCGTCAGCCCCCTAAAGGGTGAGCAGGCGGTCACGTCTGCCCACCCATCCCCCGACCCCACCCCGCTGTGTTCTCTTTCTGCCATTCTCAGTTAATCAGAAGTGTCAGCCCTTGGCTTCAGCTTTCGTGCCTGGGGTGATGAATTGCATTTTAATGAGTGACCACCCTTAAGGGAAACCCCAGCCCCAGGAAGGCACCCGCAGGATCCCGGATGTGGGGACTCTTCTGAAGGTCACCCCTGTCCCTCCCAGCCCCCATCCAGATCCTGGGATTGTTTTATAAATGAGCAGACAGGGACAGGGTGCTGTGCTTGCTCAAGGTCCCCAAGCTCTGGATTCGGAGCTCACTGCAGGACTGCAGGCCGCTCCCATGTGACGCAGGCTGCGCAGCGCTCATTAGGGGTAGGGATCTGCCTTTGTGCGGTTTGACAGAGGACAAGCCTCCATGCGGGGTCTCAGGCCTGGACTCTGACCCATCCCTATCCCCCGCCCTCAGGGTGGTAAGAAGTAGAGGGCCCTTCCCAGCCCCCTGGTGACCTGTAGACCAGCTGTGACCCCAAAATCGAAGCAGGCTTGCACCCAACTCCTCATTCAGGAACAGTATGCCAACTCCTGGCGTTTGTTTATTGTTTATCACAGTCATTCGCAATGCACGGACATCCCACAGAGACGCCACTAAACCCAGTTGAAACTCACATTCTCAAAAATTTCCACCACTTGCATTGAGATTTCCCTGAGGTTTGGGGAGAGGGGAAGGTGCCTGAAGGGAGAAATGACATCTTTAGCCTTCCCAGCCACTTCCCGTCTCTTCCCAAACCACCTCCTTCCTCTGCGCAACCAAGAAATCCCTCCCCTCTCCTAATACAGGGAAGTTCCACCCATATTCAGGGCCCCACGAGGCAGCCAGTGACAAGGCTTAGAGCAGCGGCCCTAAAACAAATGCTGCCGCATGCACTTCTACAGAGAATGTAGTTCACTATAGATTCAATGTCAGTGCTGTCCACTCCCCTCTCTGCTTTCCTAAGGCATCAGACACTGTGAGTTTGATGTAAAGAGGGCACTCATCTGACCCCCATTTAAGACTATTTTGAATAGTCTTAAAAACGGTTCCTTTTCACAGAAGCCCAGCTGTTTCTCTCTCGACCCACCAAGGGTCTACCCTTCCCTCCTCTTTAACCTTGCACCTAAAATGCCATAAAGAACAAGAAAGGCATTGCCAAGGTTTGTAAGCGAGGTATGGAAATTAGCTTTACTGTAAGTTCTGTCTGCTGGCTGTGTGACGCTGGACAAGTCAGGAGGTCAGTGAGATGACCCAGCCTGTACATTCAGGCACCTGTCACACAGCAGGGAAGGCTTGCGTGTGTACACACCCAGGACTCTTCTCTAAGTCCTTCTAGCACTGACCGGTCACCCGGTCTTCCCCAAAACCTTGGCTCCTCCACACCCCTCTATCCAAGCTTACCAAACCCTTTCAACATACCTACTTCCTGTTTGTACCTCCAAAATGTCAGGCCTGGAATTTTCTCCATCTTTGTGTGCTTTAGAAAATCCCCAGAGACTTCAAATCTTCGTCCTCAGAGACCCAGGTATCTACTGAGTGAGTAAGAAGTTGATCCTGGCAACACCAAGGTGGAGCCAAGGAACTTAGGCCCATCCTCTCATGCAGTTTAGAAAACCAACTCCAATAGTTAGTGCAAAAGCAGTTCAGAACTCTTTGGCCTTTGGCAACCTCGTGGAATACAGGTGTTGCTTCCTGGAGTGACCCCTTTTGGCGATCACGCCCTCATTCTGCAGAGTCCGTTTCATCATGGGTGGACACGTCTTCATCTCAATTTGTGACAAAAGGGCCCCTGGCTCAGGATGTGTCTCAGAGGCATTCAGAAGGATCCAGAGGAATGAATGAACTGTCAAAGCTAGCTTTTTCTTTGCTTTTTTTTTTTTTCAAGATTCATTTATTTTCATCAGAAAGACAATTTTACAGAGAGAAGGAGAGAGATAGTCCATCTGCTGGTTCACTCCTCAAAAGGCCACAACAGCCAGAGCTGAGTTGATCCAAAAGCAGGAGCCAGGAACTTCTTCCAAATCTCCCATGCGGGTGCAGGGTCCCAAGGCTTTGGACCATCCTCTGCTGCTTTCCCAGACCATAAGCAGGGAGCTGGATGGGAGGTGGAAGAAGTGGACATGAATCAGTGCCCATATGGGATGCCAGAGCTTGGAGGCAGAGGACTAGCCTGTTGAGCCAATGCACCAAGCCCCCAAAGCTAACTCTTTTTGTTTGTTTGTTTTCTTCCCTCCATCCCTTTCTCTTCACCTCTCTTTCCTTACCCCCTCCATCCCTCCCTTCCTCCCTGGCATCCTTGCTGAAATCCCTCTTCTCCTCTCCACCCGCCTCCCGACAACCCCACCCCAGACCAAGAAGTTCAAAATCCCTACCATGCGGACCACCAGTCGCAAGCCCAGCCGGCGAGGCTCCATGCTGAGCCTGTCCAGGACCAGCGGCGGGTCCTCGCCCCAGAGCAGCATGGTCTCCATCAACCCCAGCTCCGACGAGCCGCAGAGCATGGGCACTCAGGGCACCAACAGCAAGGATATCGAGGACAACGAGTCGTCTTCCACCAAGCCAGACGAGGAGGTTCTCCATGTCAGTAAGTCCCACCTGCGGTCTGACCCCTTCCCCGAGGAGCAGTGAAGACACAGACGATAAAGGGGAAGGCCAACGGTAGGGAACGGGCTTGGAAGAGAAAACCGCTGAAGTCGGACTAGAGAGATGATGCAGGCTAGCTCCAAAAGCTTGTCAGAAATGCAGTTACAGGTTTAGTTTAGCACAAAGGAACTTTGAAATCCAGGAATAATTCCTATGCAGTACACATTTTCTTCATGGACTTTTACATTTTTTTTTCATGTTAATGTAATATTAATGCAAAGGAAGCAGATACAGTGTAGTTCATAAACAAACTTTCTACGAATATCTTATTTCCTTTCTCCTTCCCTCCCTCCCCTTTTTCTCACATTCTCTCTCCTGCTCTGTGGTTCTCACTCTTTTTCTTCTTTCATTTTTTTTTTTTTTTAGTTTGTATGAAAACATTTTTAATTAACATTATAGTCAAGGGCTATAAAAGTTGAATCTCCACTAAGTAGAGAGCATTAAGGGAAAAGACCCTCAGCAGTTACATGGACAGAAAGATGAGCAGTAATCAGATGGAAAGACAAGCATCACACCCATACACATCTTAAAATAATCATTCAGTAAATCAGTCATTAACACTATCGTGGTTTCACATCTTTGACCTTGGTTTGACAAAGATGTAGAGCAAAATTCCACAAAAAGTGTATTTACAGCAATGCTGATACACGCAGGCATTTTTCCTTGTTTTTTCTGTAATTCTTTTTGGTGGTTGAATTTTTTTTTTTTAAATCTGGCTTGATACCCTCTAACTGTGTTTATTTTGATGCAAATGGTAGAACTTCACTCGTTAATAGCTGAGTAATGTTCCAGTGAGCGTATATACATCGTGTTGTTTCTCCACTCATCTCATGATAGGCACCTTTGGCCTTCCGTGTTTTGGCTGTTGTGAGCAGCATTGCTCTAAGCATGGTGCAAGCACAGCACGTCTCATGGGTTCACACCCAGTAATGGGGTTGTTGGGTCATATGGCGCGTCTATCTCTAGGCATTAACGACATCTCCATACCCAACAGTGTATGAGCACTCCCCTCTCTCCATTGCCTTGTGACCCTCTAGCTTGTGGATTGTAGCCATTCTGATGGGAGTGAGGTTGTGTCCCGTTGTGGTCCTCATTCGCATCCCCCTGATGGCTAGTTGAGTGTTTTCTCATGTATTTGTTGACCAATTGCACTTCTCCTTTAGAGAACTGTCTGTCGGGGCCCTGTGTCCATTTCATCATTGGATTTGTGTCCGATTTTTTGAGTTGTAACAGATTTGGGTATCAATCGTTTGGTAGCTCACAAATATTTTTATTATTCTGTGCGCAGTCTCTTCGCTCTGTTGGTCATTTCCTTTGCTGGAAAGAAGCATCTGACTTATGTATAATCCCATCTACTTACTTTTGCTTTAGTTTCCTTTGCTGTTGGGGGTCTTATCAATGAAGTCAGCATCTACTAGAGTGTCTTGGAGTATTTCCTGACCACTTTCTTCCAGAAACTTCATAGTCTCAGGCCTTGAATATTGGTGTTTGAACCATCTTGAGCTGATTTTCATATATTGTAAGAGGTACAGATACTTTTTTTCTAATATATATATTATATATTAGAAATATACATATATATATATATATATATATACACACACACACTCCAGTTTTGCCAGCTACCATTTCTTCCATGTGTAGTCTAGGCATTTTTGTCAAAAGTCAGTCGGCTGTACATACATGGATTCATTTCTGGGCTCTCTATTCTGTTCTATTGACCTATGTGTTAGTGTTTACGCCAGAACCATGCTGTTTTCATTACTATTGCTTTGTAGCATACTTTGAAGTGAGATGTTTTAATATCTTCCAGCTTGATTTTCTTTCTCTTTGCTTAGGATCACTTTGGCAGTTCTGGTTCTTTTTTGATTTCATATGAATGTTAGATTTTTTTCCACCCAAGTCTGTAAAGAATACATTTTGGTGGGACTAGTATTGTATTTGTAGATGACTTTTGCCTAGTACAGACATTTTCATAACACTGATTTTTCTAGTCTATGAGCGAGGAATATCTTTTCATTTCTTGTGACCTTGCTAATTCCTTTGCTCAGTGTTTTATAACTTCCGTTGTAGAGAGCTACAGTTCTTTGGCTGAATTTATCCTTAAATGTTTGATTTTTTTTATGGCTTTTATAAGTGGGATATCTTTCTTAATTCCTCTTTCAGTGAGTTCACCATTAGCATTATAAAAAGCTACTGTTTATTTTGTCACATGCACTTTACTGAACTGGCTTATTCTGGTAGCATTTGGTGGGGTGTATACATTTTTTCACGTACAAGATGTGTGCTGCAATAATTTTTTTACTTGCTCTTTTTCCAGTGGTGATGCCCTTTCTTCTTTCTCCTCCTCGATAGTTCTTGATGTCCAGTTCTATGTTGAATGCAAATGGCACAAGCAGACACCTTATCTTTTTCCCTATCTGAGGGGAAATGCTTTCAGCTTATCCCTGGCCGGTAGGACATTGGCCTCTTGGTCTGCCATAAATCCCTTCCATTATTTCATGAATTCATGAGGCGGCTATGACGACAGAATCACCGCCTGCACAACAGGAGATCTCAAAATGATTTTTAAGAACAGGTGGAACAAGACCATGATGCCTGGTTCCAGGCAACTTCCGACTCTAAACTGAGGAGAGCACGGAAGTGTCCCGGATTCAAAACACTGTCAGCACCAGAGTTTGCATCAGAGCCCAAAGAGAAGTGGAGCAAGAAGAGAGAACCAAGCATAGGGCTTCCCTCCAGACACCTGTCCCCAACATCTAGGTAGTTACTGAGTCCTAAAACTCCCTCTGGCCTTACCCTATTTGTTTGTTTCTTTTACCTTCATTTAGAGACAGAAAACAGGAGGTACGTCAGCTTTTGCCATGTTTTGTTCGGCATCCATAAGACTTTGTTGTGTTGTGTGTGTTTTAAACAGGGAGATGACATTCCAAGATTTAACAGATTCTACACAAACATCTGGTTTTACAAACTCTTCGTAGTAGCAAGGGGCTTGCAACCCTCCATGACAGTAGCCACCTGGGGCACCCCCCTCTCTGCGGGGGCCTTTGCTCTGTAGCCTTATGATGGTACTGGTGCTGGTAGTGATGGTGAGGCTGAAACAATAGCCAACATTTAAGACTTCTGGCGGCGGTGCGCAGCCTTTATTTTGCCTGCTAGTAAAGACACCATTAGGATGGCCACATGTCTGGGTTTGAGTTCCATTTCTACTTCCTGATTTCAGCTTCCAGCTTCCTACTAAGGCAGATCTGTGAGCCAGTGATGGTGGTTCACGTGGTTAGATTCCTGCCACCCACAAGAGAGATGGAGAGTTTGTTCCTGGATGCTGGCTTCAGTCCCCCAGCCATTGTGGGCATTTGGAATGAACCAGTGAATAAGGGGTTTCTCTTTCTCCCTCCTTCCTCCCTCCTTCCATTTCCCTCCCTCTCCCCTCCTCCTCCCTCTGCCTCCCACCTCTGCTTCCCTTCTTTTCCCCCTACCACTCACCCCTTCTTCCCCTCCCTCCTTCTCTCCCTCTGCCCTTCCCTATCTCCCTCTCTCTCCATCCCCCTCCATCCCCCTCCATCCCTCTTCTCTTCCCCTACTACTCCTCCCCCTTCCCTCTCTCCTATCCCAGTGCTTCCCTGTCACTCCTCCCTCTCACTCATTATCCTCCTCCCTTCCTCCCCTAACCCCTCTCTCCCTCCTCCTCCCTCCCTTCCTTCCTCTCAGAGAAGTAAAGTCTTAAAAGACCTTTTATATGTCAGCTCCTGTATACAGATAAAAATCCAGTTAATACTCCAACCAATCAGTGATGGAGACCAAATATGAAGCCCCAAAATTTGGCTCTCAAGTCACACACTTTTAATCCCTTTGTTTTACCCTAGTCTGTAGAGAGGATAAGAAATGGAAGATACTCTGGAGAGCAGCTTGATTTTTTCTTGGTTGTCTTCTTCTTGAACTTGGCACCCAGCAGGTGTACAAACAAGGCTGAGAAAGGTGTTTCCCCCCAGAGATCTGCCCTGGAGGGGAAGTCGCTCTACACCAGCCTCTCTGCCCTTTTACTCTGTTTATAACTTAACTTCCATTGCACTTGTCACAGCCTCAACAAAAGCAGATTAATTTCCCAGCTGCTCATTGCCTTCTGAAACCCCGTCAAAGTCAAATTGATTTCGGAATTCGTGACTCCTACTCTGGGAGACAGACCATTTGACCAAGGCTAATTTTCAGGGCTGGCTGCTTAATGAAGTCTTTGTGGATGCACAGCCCTGGAGACAGCAGGTCACCACCCCTCCCTGAACTGATCCCCTCACTCAACATCCATGGCTGGGATATTCCCCAGGAGCCCAAGTCCTGGCCATCCCTTCTGTCAGTCTTGAAGCTCTGAGTCTTGAGACTATTAAAAGAGAAAAGCAGTTAATTATAGGTAACTCAAAGCATAGGACCTGGGCCACCTCCTCTTCACTCTCAAATCAGCCACATACAATTAAAAAAATTTTTTTAGAGCTTCTTTTCACCAAAAATAAATGGGCTTAGTCGTTCAAGGGTGAGACCCTTAGGCTGGGGATGGAAGATGAAGTCAGGAAGTCAGATTTGTGTTCTGTCTGGCTGTGATTTTTGACATTTGAGACGCAGCATGCCATTGCCTTGGAGGCGTAGATGGAGAACATCTCTAGAGCCCCAGGAGCTAGGAGAGGAGCAGGTTCCTCTGGAAGCAGACTTCCCTCAAAGGACTGTGTCCCTCAGGGAAGCCCTGTTTATGTAGCATATTCATCCTTAGCGAACAAGCCCTTGTTCCCATGTAATGTTGAGGGATCCCAGGCACATGATGAATGGGGCTCCACACACATGGGGAAGGGGGCTGATGGACATAGCATTCCTGCTCAGACGCATTTGACAAGCGGAGAAGCAAGCCTGGGGTGCATTCAGTTGAGTGTGCAGCTTCCTATATGAGTCTTTAGGAGGGTCCCCGATGTGCAGGTCCCCAAGCTGTACTCAACCCCTGCTGACTTGTGTGTAGGTAGAGGAGTAAGTGGGGCAGTACTCAGATGTTGTTGCTCAGATTCCAGGAGAAAGGGAAGAAAGTAGAGAAGCCAGACACAAGCTCCCATATGAATGGATTTGCTAGGAAGAGACGCCACTTTGAAAATAAGGAGGTAGAGTAGAAAATAGTGAAATGTTGCTGTCACACCCTAGCTGACTCCAAAATCACTCAAGAAACACCCTCTTGTCCCCAACCCCCAGAACATATGGGATGCCAGTGCCACAGGCAGCAGCTTTACTGGCTGTGCTACAGCACCAACTCCCATACTAACTAATTTTAGGTGCAGCACTCCCATTTTTAAGGTTACATTCAGAAGTACTCAACTTCTACCTACATTTTTTTGAGGGAAGCACCAATCAACCTGTAACATTCAGGTCAGAGAGGATTTCTATACTATATCAGCATCAACAGTATCAGCGTCTGAAAATCAAAGCCACCTAATGCAGTGAGGGTAGTGGGGGCCAGGGGCAGCTGGAGAGGGCGTGCCAGTCAAAAGAAGGGAGGGCGCTGTATCCGCATCCCAGCTGCTTTTCTGGGAAGCTAGGGGGTCTGGATTTGGCTATTGTAAAAGGTCAACATCTGTACCAGATTGTGTCCAAAACCCATCAGGGCTGGATTCAGTCTGTGGAAATCAGAGAGGGCTTCCTGACAAGATGCGGTTTTTTGGTTTTTTTTCCCCCTTGGAATGGGCAGATCATTGTCTTCTGCTGTAGTAGAGATCAGGATGACGGGGAGGGGAGGTCAGGTGGGAGAGAGAGTGTCCGGATCCCAGGAGCCTCGGGGGGGCTGCTCAGGGCAATCTAGATGTTTCTGGAAGCAAACTGAGGAAGTGGAATGGTGGGGTCAGGTACATGACCTGCCGAATGCCACCAACCATCACCTGTGGACTCCATGCTCCCTGGCAGGGGAAGCAGAGATGAGCCCAGGAGACTGGACGTGGGCCCTGCCCTGGAGACCCTCCCATCAAGGCCAACCTCTTTCTTACATTCCCATCAGACCTGCAGAAGCTCCTGGAGATGGTTCGAGAAAATGCGCGAAGGACAGTCATGATGGAAGACGAGATGCAGAAAGAGGCACCCAGGTAAGGGCCGGTTACGGGACTCGAGTGGCAAGCAAAGACCAAGGAGCTGCAGATGCCTGGGCATTTGCCCCGTGCTGGGCAGTGAGCTGTGGACTGTGCCGCTGGGTGTCACCTATCCGAGTTCTTGTGTCAACCCCCGGCAACCGGGGTAGACACAATAATCTTGATTTTTACAAATGAGGAAATAAGGTTGAGAGGCCGAGTGACAAGGTGGGGCCGGCCAGGGGGGCAAGCGTGTAAACGTGGCCAGAAGGAACCACGGGACCATCAAGGAGCTGAAACGTAGCCCACATGGGACGTAGGGAAACATCCGTGGTCCTGAAGGATTGTGGGACGCCCCAGATGCATCCAGCCAGTGACCAGGGAGATTCCCCAGGAAGGAGAGTCAGGCTTGAACTTGCTGATCCCAGTAGAGAGACCGTGGGCTGGAGCTGGAGATCCCAGCCCCTATGTAGATGCCTCTTGAGTGAGCAGAATACTTCCTGAAAATAAATGAGGCTCCAGAAGAGGTTCATCATCAACGCCTTCCGCTTGCACAGGTGCTGGTGATGACTTATCTGTTATTGTTATTACCGTAATTACAGTTCACCGAGCACTCTCCCATATATCACACCCCTGCCTCTGCTGGCTGGTGATGAATTTGCTGCTTCCTCACCATGCATCAGGGCCCCAGAAGGTGGCCAACCGAGGCGCCCTGAGGCCCCCACTGCTGGGCAGCTGTCAGCAGGAGTGACAGGGGATAGTGACGAAGCTTCAGCTCAAGGGAACCCCTCCACTGTAGGAACACAGACATGCACCCCCAATCCTAGCACCCTTGGACCAGTCACTCAGCCTTTCTCTAAACTTCTGTTTCTCATCCACTCATGGAGGTGGTGTCACCCCCGGGCATTGGGTGTGGGACCCGGGAGACTGGGGTCAGTCTTGAGCTCCGTGATTTAATGGACAGGTGATAATGAGCCAGTTGCTGTCTCTGTGTGTCTGTTTCCAGTTCTTCAAAGTGAGGCTGATTGGTTCAAGTAGGCCAGAGGGTGGCGGTGAGTACTAAATGTTATCCTTGGAAAGCAGTGTTAATGCTATAGAAATCACAGCTGCTTCAGTGAGTCATTTTGAGTGTTTGAAATGATGCATTTATTGAGCATAAGAACCGGTGTCTGACACAGAGGAAGCACTGCATTGGTAGTGGCAGGCATGGGCGTTACCGACAGCCACTGGCTCAGTCAGGTGCACTAACCATCATGCCAGCCACCATCTCAGAGTCTTCAAAGACAGGTGCACACTCAAACCTGCTTCTCACAAGACTACTCATGTGTTGTCTCTATTCAGTTTTTAACTTTTATTTATTTATTTTTTAATTTATTTTGATTATTTTTTCATTGGAAAGGCGGATATACAGAGAGGAGAGACAGAGAGGAAGATCTTCCATCCGATGATTCACTCCCCAAGTGAGTGCAACGGCCGATACTATGCCGATCTGAAGCCAGGAGCCTCTTCCGGGTCTCCCACGCGGGTGCAGGGTCCCAAAGCTTTGGGCCGTCCTCAACTGTTTTCCCGGGCCACAGGCAGGGAGCTAGAAGGGAAGCAGGGCTGCCGGGATTAGAACCGGTGCCCATATGGGATCCCGGGCATGCAAGGCAAGGACCTTAACCACTGCACCACCGCGCCGGGCCCAACTTTTATTATTTTATGATACAGTTCCATAGGCCCTGGGATTCCCCCCCCCCCCAAATACCCTCCTCCACTGAGTTCCCCCATATTATTAGTATAGTTCTTCATGAACAGTCATATGTCCATCTTTGATCTGGAAGTAGAGATGCATACTGCATTCATTGTATCCTCACATGTGGATCTGATAGTCTCCATTAGTTACTGTGCATCCCCTTAAATGAAAAGCCACAATACAAAATCAGCAACAGGGAGAAAAATAGAAATTTACAATGCCATGTTCAATAACATGCTACTGGAGATGATGGTTTCCATCACACAGTACACAGTACATCCCCTTAAAAGCCACAAAACAAAATCAACAGGAAAAAAACATTATGAAGTTAAATATGCTACTGATTGACTAATGTGTTGCTGAAAAAATGAAAAAGAAAACGCCGCTGCTGTATGATCTGTGAGTCAGTGAAGAATTTAATGAGTGTTTTGAAGAGATGGAACTTAAAAGTCAAAATCCATGAGGTAGAGTTTCTGCTGATCTTTGTTGGTGAGATATGTCTCCTATAGGCGTTAAATAGATTGGTTTTGTGTTTTTAATCCAGTCTACTTATCTATGGCATTTGATTGAGTTCAAGCCATTTACATTCAGGGTTAATATGAATGGGTTAGTAATTTGGTCCTGTCATTTTAGCAATGGGTTGCTAATTGATTTAGTCTTCTGTTATTTTACTGGGATGTTCTTCACACTTGCCTTTGGTTTTGGTGGGTGCTGTTCCTCTTCTCTGTCAAGAGAAACATCTTCAAGTGTGCTTTGTAGGGTAGGTTTAGAAGAGGCATATTTGTTTTCACTGTGGAAGAATTTTAGGAAAGCATTACTGGGTAAGTTATCCTGGGCTGACCATTTTTTGCTCCATTCACTTCTGGCCTGTAGAGTTCGCTGTGAGAGGTCTCCTGTGACTTGAACCGGTATTCCTTTACCACCACATTGTTGTGTCTGCTGCTTTCCCGTGTCTGTCAGTCTGCAGGGGCCCCTCTGCTGTCGTTCTGTCCTCTCCTATTTCCTGGAATGTGCCCTCTCTGCTTCACACTGGCTAATGTTTCTCTGTTTAAACGTGTCCTTACCCTATTCTGCCATCTTGATTCTCCCCTGCATTCAGTGTTTTAAAAGATAAAATAAATAACCATGGTTACCGAGCAGGCACCCATTGAAATTTGCCTTGCTCATTAAGTCCTCCAGGAGCCGAATCTCCCAGGAAGGCTGACAGGCACCCTGGAGCGTTAGAGGAGAGCATGCAGCCTTTTCTAAGTGTAAGGGTGCTTACCCCAAGCCTTACACTCGGAATTTGTCCCATTAGGTACTGGTGCTGCACTCAAGGTTTCAGAAACTCCCCGAAACCCAGCCTGCCTGGTCTCCCGACTGAAGGCCAGACTGCTCCTCCATGGTCATCTAAGTCAGTGGCCCTCCCTTCAAACTCCCCAGCACTGTTTATGTCCCCAGATGACGATGGCCCAAGTCCTTGGGGCCCTACCCACATAGGCGAGCAGAAAGAAGCTCCTGGCTTCAGATTGGCTCTGCTCCAGCTGTTGTGGCCATTTGGGGAGTCCACCAGTAGATGCAAGTGCTCTCTTGCTCGCTCACTCGCTCGCTCTCTGAATCAACCTTTCTAATGAAGTTAAATGCATCCATTTGAAAAAGAGGAGAGGCAAGATGAGAGAAGAAAAGGAGGTGGGGATAAAGAAGATGGATCGGGAGAGACAAAGGGTAGAGAAGATAGGGGGAGTAAAGATATGAGCATGGGGGAGGGAGGGGATGCAGGTGGGGAGAACTGACAAGATAGACGGGGAGGGACGAGAGGGAGAAGGTGACAAAGGGGAATGGCACTGAGAGGGAGGAGAGAGAAGGGGGGTTGGAGAGGGTAAGTTGACAGATAGGGATAGAGAAGTGAGAGGAGAGTAACAAGGGAGGGTGCAGGAGGAGTGGGTGGGGCTGGCACCGTGCCTTCCCACAATAACCCTGCACAAATGAATGCAGGCATCTCCCATGGGTGCCAGTGCGCGTCCCTGCTGCTCCACTCGCATCCAGCTCCCTGCCTGTGGCATGAGAAAGCAGCAGAGGATGGCTCCTTGGGCCCCGTATCCATGTAGGAGACCTAAAAGAAGTTCCTGGATTCACACTGGCTCAGCAGCAGACTTTGGGCCACTTGGGGAATGAACCAGCAGATGGAAGGTCTCTCTCTTCCTCTCTGTAAATCTGCCTTTCCAGTAGGGCTTGAGGAGAGGAAAGAAGAGAGAAAGGAGTGCAGAAGTGGGAGACTTGGAGAGAGAGAAGGGTGAGAGAGAGGAGAAGGTGGAGGGAAGAGAGAAAGGAAGTGAAAGGAGGACAAAAAAGGTGAGAGAGGCAGCAAGAGAGAGGTGGGGAGAAAGAATATGGACAGAGGGGAGAAACAGGAGGGAGAGAGAAGAGAGGAAGGAGGGTGGGAGGGGAGAGGGAGAGAAGGATGAGGAGGTGCGAGAGCTGTGGCTCAGAAAACTAACCCTGCACCTGCTAGTGCTGGCACCACAGGGGGTGCAGGATCTTGTCCCTGCTGCTCCCCTTCTGATCCAGCTCTCTGTTTACAGCCTGGGAAAGACAGAGGCTGCTCAAGTCCTTGGGAACCTGCAGCCAAGTGGGTGATGTGGAAGCAGCTGCTGGCTTCAGAGTTTGTGCAGCTCAGGCCATTGCAGTCATCTGGGAAGTGGATCAGCCACAGGAAGATCTCCTTTTCTCTGCAAACCTGCTCTTGGAAAAAAAAAAGATTTGTTTTATTTTCAAGAAAGGAAGGGGAAGACCAGAGAAGAGAGATGAGATGGAGAGAGCAGAGAAGAAAAAAGGAGGGAATTGATAGAATGGGGACACTGAGGGAGATGGTGTCGAGGAAGGGTTGAGGGAGGGAGGGAGAAAGGGAGGAGGTGAGGGACTGACACTGTGGCTGCACAGGATAATCCTCCACAAATTAGTGCAGGCATCCCCCCCATGGGCACCAGGTCCTGTTGCTCCACTTCCCTTCCAGCTCCCTGCTTGTGGCCCAGGGGAGGCAGCAGAGGACGGCCCCAAGCCTTAGCCTGTACCTGCATAGCAAACAGAGACAAGAGTGAGGAGAGAGAGAATGGGGAGAAAGAAGGTGGCAATGGGGGCTGGAGGACAGAAAAGGGGGCCAGGGAGGAGACTTTTAAAAGGTGTGGGGGGTGAATTGATGAGAGGGGAGTGAAGAGAGTGGACAGGAGTGCGAGAAGATGGGAGGACAGAGGGAGCAGGAACATGTGAGAGGAGAGGGGAGTGTGGGGAGAGCTGACAGAGGGAGAAAGAGGAGAGACGTGAGTGAAAGGAGCTGGAGGAGAGGCGAGAGGGGAGCTAGGGAAGGCAGGAGAAGCTCTCCCACTTGCCTGTCACTGCCCAGATGCCCTGAGCAAGCAGCTCACACCTCAGCCCAGGTCTCCCACACTGAGGGCAGGGACCCAACCACTTCCTGCAGCCATCCAGGGAGCCGGAATCCAGAACAGAGCCTTGCTTGGACTTGGGCCCTGTGACGCAGGATCCCAAGCAGTGCCCACCACAAGCACCCAAACCTCTGACCATGTAGCCGAAAGAGCGGAGCCGGATCTGCAGCATTGCCTGCACCCCACAGCACCTGCAGGTCCCTGCTGCTCCGGAGCACCCTGTGCACAGAGCCCAGCTCACCAGCTTCCTCTCATCCACAGCCTCCTGTCGGTGTTCAAATCCAGCAAGAGTGACTCTGCCTTCAAGGACGGCCAGACCATGCACAAGTCCAGGTGGGCAGAGGCGGAGCCTGGAGCAGGGCACCCCACAGTTAAGGTGTCACAGCACACTCCTCCTGGGACTGTAGCAAGCCAGTGGGGGCAGGAGAAGGGGTGCTTTGTTCTCAGGACCTCACTGGAAGCAGCACCTCCCATCCAGGGCTGGCCATAAGCAGCAGGGACCTGCAGGTGCAGTGGGATGCAGGCAATGCTGCTTATGGTGTCACGTTAAAATGATCCAATAGTTGAAGCAGCAAGGAAGGGAGTTTTGGTTTTACTATAATATTTACATAAGCATATTATTGTTATATATTAACATGATCATAGTGTGAAATAGTGGAAATCTTACCCTCGCGGAATGTATGAGCTTACAGAATACTCTTAGCTTCCCGCTGGGTGCAGGAGACTTGGGAGCAAATGAAACCCTGTCGTCCCTCCTGGATCTCACGGTCTGGGGTGGCACCAGGACAACTGAGGCATCGTCCACCCTAAGAAGGGCCACAGCCTCCTTCCAGATGTGGGTTTAACTGCATGCTCTCACGGCACGTGATTGCCAAGAAACCGACAGCGGTGTAGGCAGTCTGTGATCTGCCTTAGCCGTGAGTTATAGAACAACACTCAACGGCAGTTCTAATAACTGCTGTAATTCTGGATTAGTGTTGAGCGTAAATGGAGAATAACCAGGCCCACCCGCAAGAACTGCCAGGTGGCACAGCTGCAGAAGGGAAGGGCCAGATGCTCAAATGTAAGAAAGTGTGATAGGGAAGGGCCGAACATGCCGGACAGTGACACAGTGCACCTGGGCAAAGGGCACAGGGGAGGGACAGGGATGCAGTTAGGCTGACCGTGAAAGGGTTAGCTCATGGGCTGATGAGTCACAGATGAGGAAGCTCCGGTGTTCCAGAGGGAAACCGATTGCTAGCCAACTCCAGAGGTGGGCAGCAGGTGGCGCTAGAGTGCACTCGAACTATCTGTGTCCTGTGCCTGAACTGTTGCCCAACTGAAGACCCTTTGTAGGAAGAGAATCCAGCTCAGCCAGACCAAGGCTGACGTGGCAGAGTGCAGATGTGAAATGCAGGCCATGGAACAGCAGGAGTAGGAGGGAAAGACACGAGGTGGCAGCTCCAGGCTGAGGGGTTTGGGAGAAGCCAAGGCAAAGAGGTGAATAAGAAGCCATGCTGAGTTGTGTGAAGGGTACCTGCCTTACCTGAAGGCCGGAGACTAGCAGGTGCACTCAGGGGCCTCAAGTCACCTTGTCGTGAAAAGCAGACGACTCAGGGCAACCCAAGAACCATCGCATTGTGTTTCAGCGAAAGATCCATCAGTACAAGTGCAGAGAGCCACACTGTGTTGGTCCAGAAGAAGTCTAAGAGGTGAGCCAGGCGGGCAGCAGTAGCAGCTGGGTCCATGGGAGCATGACCCCCACTCGGTGGGACCCAGTGCAGACCAGACCCTCCCAGAAGCAATGGGCAGTGATGCTGCAGGACCAGGAAACTCCAGGGCAGGGGAGGGGGTTGTAGCCTGAGATGCTGGACCACCGGGCAAGCGGTGTGCACCCTACAGGCACCAGGAGAAGCCCTGTGCCTTTGCTTCCTTGCTTAGTCCCCCATACCAATCCTCCACGCATTATCCCACTATGCACTCAGGGGCGTGGCCAAGTGGAAGATGAGGCCACACCGCGCAGCAGTGATGGACAGCAAGCTGCAGCTTTCGTCTCCCCACTCCCGTCCCACTGGGATGGGCTCGGGTGACCAAGTGTCTCACTGTGGGTTCATTAGACCTTGAGGTCCGTACTTCCCTGCTCCTAGGAAATGCTGGGGGAATGCAGACAACCTGGGTGGGTCCAGGAGCCGCCCCCCCCCCCAAATAGTCCCCTAGGGCCCAAGAGCCCCACGGTGAGTCCACTGGGCCCCACACAGCAAACCCTTCTCGTGTGTGTCTGCAGCCGTACCACCCGTGACATCATCCATGGCAAGACCGGGGTGTGCAGCAGCCTGCGGGCCAAGTTTTACAGTGTGGCCCAGGAAGCCGCCTTCTGCCTTCAGGACAAGATGGAGGTCCTCCTGAAGTAAGAGCTCTTTTGTTGTATACCCTGCACCCCAAGGACATTTCCCCCTGAGACCTGCCGGGTGCCAGGGCCACAGCGGGGATGGGAAGAGCTCCAAGGGAATTTAGTCAGAGACAGAGGCAAACCAGCAGCACCTGTAACTACACGGGCACAAGTTCGCATAACTACCAGGCCAGCAGGAGAGAGAGGAGCCAAGTTAGGCTGGGTCATCTGCAAGATTTCTGGAAGGTGGTGGCTTCTGGAACCGCTGGGGCTCTGAGGGGAAGGTCCAACAGCAATCGAGGCAGAAGGAAAGGGCACACGCAGCACCACGATGCAAAGGGACCAGGGACATGTGACGAGGGATGGGAAGTGGTGATGAAGGCTGCATCACACACCAGCTGTGTGGGACCAGAATGCCCATGCGCAGCACAGCAGCAGGGCCCTTTGGGTGTTTCTCGAGTACCCTGAGAACCCAGGAACCATTTGCCACCTGCGCCACGTATCTGCCCACCAGGTAGAGCTGCAGGATCATACATTGCACCCTGTACCTGACAGCACTGATGGACGGGCAAGCTGCCCAGAACCAACCCCTCACCTTTCCTCCTCAATCAGACACAAAAACAGACAGTCACACAGCAGCGAGGGCTAGCGTGCAGACAGGCAAGAGGCTGCAGGAAAGAAAAGGGGCTCCCTGCCTGGTCCAGGACTGCCATCAGGGAGGGCTTCCTGGAAGCAGCAGCAGCAGCATTCTCAGTTTCACAACAACAGATGATGTTCTCGTAGTATTTCCTACGTAGCTTTAAGTGTCTCATTTGCTTCTCACGGAAAGCCGAGGGGGTGGGTGCTAGCACTGCACCCATTTTATAAATGAGAAAAAGACATCAGAGAGCTCTTATCAAATCCCTGGGTGGCTGTGACAGGAAAGGTAGAAATCAAAGCTGAGGAGCACAGTGGGCAAGTGGGAGGGAAGGCCGCTCTAAGGAAAGCCAATAGTGGTGTCCCATGTATCCTGAATGACATGGGAAGCCAGTGGAGGTGGAGTGCAAGAGACTGCCCTGGATCCACCCAGAAGGTGAGGTCTCCTTGGAGAAACAGGGCTGAGGCACTAAGCAGGCAAGCTGGGTCTTTGCCTGGTGTGTGTGTGTGTGTCTGCCCCTAAGCTTCCAGCATGCCCAGCCTCCTGTCACCACCTCTTCCCTGCTGGGAGGTAGGGGCCATCCCGTCCCCAACCTGACAGATGGGGAAGGGAGCAGGTAGGAGGAGGAAGAGAGAAAGATGGGGTGAAGATTTGCTTTAGCAAGAAAATTGTCTCAGGACTTTGCAGAGTTACAGGTTTTGTATTTTTTTTTTTCTTGGCACACATTTTCCAAAAACTTTGAAGACTCCTCTAATGCATGGAATTGAGATTTTTTGTACCAAAAGTTATCTTTTATTCCCATCTCGCACAAGCTTCTTGAGTTTCCCTCTGTCGCCTTGATGCCAACGCCAGATGGGAGAGAGTAGTGGGGAGGGCTGACGGGACCCCGAGGGAGACATGCTTAGGGTTAGAGATCTGAGGGCAGCCAGGCTGGTTTTGGGGTGGGGAGAGGGGCAAGGCTCAAATGCTTCCTCTTCCTTCTCGTACGTTCCTCATAGACGCCAAGAAGAACGAGGTCTCCAGAAGTTCCATTCTTTCGTCCTCGTCTCAAACTTCCAGAAGGATATAGGAAAAATGAGACAGCAAGTAGCAGTCATCAAAGGGGACGCGGAGGAGATCGCAGATCACTGGTAAAGATGCAGGAGAACTGGACACGGCTGGGCCCTGGCAAGGGGGACAGGAAGGGGACCGTCACTCAGAGGGCATTCCACTCCACTGTCCAGGTGTAAACAGGCATCGCCCAAACACCACCTGGGCCAGCAGGGGGCGCACGGCCAAGCAAGGTAAATCCAGAGCATCTCAAGCACTGGACCACACATGGCCCTATCCACCTTTGGACATGCTCACGTTTCTGTTTCATTCAGGTCCACACATAAGGACTAACCGGCCCGGCCCCCAAATTCCCAGAGGATGTTAGGTCTGTAGGTTAAATCCCTCAAGGACACAGAGCCAGGCAAGTAAACCCGAAGGACACTGTGAGGGTATCAGAGTGACAGCAGTGAGCAGCCTGAATGCAGTGACTGTTGGACGGCTGGAGCTACCCTGAGTTTCTAGAAATTGTCTAGTTCATCCACTACAGGAAAAAAAATTGAAGGGTGGACACTAACACTTAGTGAAACATAAACCCACAGCTCCAAGCTCCTATCACCAACAAATGGTGAATGAGGCTGAGGTGAGTGTACAAACCACAGTAACACAGGAGTGAAGTTCAGGGGCCTGGAGGCATCCGCACCTGAGGGGGGGGAGAGATAGAGAGAGAGCTCTTCCTATCTGCTAAGCTCTTCTCTCTAACTATCTCTATTTTAGAGAGAGTTCTTCTTAGCTGTTAAGCGCTTCTGTCTCTAAAACAGAGAGAGAGAGAGAGAGAGCTCTTCTTATCGGGTAAGCTCTTCTCTCTCTCTCTCTATTTTGGAGAGAGTTCTTCTTAGCTGCTAAGGTTTTCTACCTCTAAATTAGAGAGAGAGAGAGAGCTCTTCTTGGCTGCTAAGCTCTTCTATCTCCAAATTAGAGAGAGAGAGAGACAGCTCTTCTTATCTGCTAAGCTCTCCTGTCTCAAAATTGGAGAGAGAGAGAGAGAGAGAGAGAGAGAGAGGAGCTTAGCAGCTAAGAAGAGCTCTCTCTCTCTATTTTAGAGATGGAAGAGCTTAGCAGCTAAGAAGAGCGCTCTCTCTCTCTCTCTCTATTTTAGAGATAGAAGAGCTTAGCAGCTAAGAAGAGCTCTCTCTCTCTCTCTCTCTCTCTCACTCTCTATTTTAGAGATAGAAGAGCTTAGCAGCTAAGAAGAGCTCTCTCTCTCTCTCTCTATTTTAGAGATAGAAGAGCTTAGCAGGTAACAAGAGCGCTCTCTCTCTCTCTCTCTCTCTTTTGGAGATAGAAGAACTTAGCAGCCAAGAAGAGCTCTCTCGCTCGCTCGCTCTCTCTCTCTCTCTCTCTCTCTCTGTCTCTCTCTATTTTAGAGATAGAAGAGCTTAGCAGCTAAGAAGAGCTCTCTCTCTCTCTCTCTCTCTCTCTCTCTCTGTCTCTCTCTATTTTAGAGATAGAAGAGCTTAGCAGCCAAGAAGAGCGCTCTCTCTCTCTCTCTCTCTCTCTCTTTTAGAGACAGAAGAACTTAGCAGGTAAGAAGAGCTCTCTCTCTCTCTATTTCAGTGATAAAGAGCTTAGCAGCTAAGAAGAGCTCTCTCTCTCTCTAACTCTCTGTGTCTCTCTCTCTTTTGGAGATAGAAGAACTTAGCAGGTAAGAAGAGCTCTCTCTCTCTCTCTCTCTATCTCTGTGTGTCTCTCTCTATTTTAGAGATAGAAGAGCTTAGCAGCTAAGAAGAGCTCTCTCTCTTTCTCTCTCTCTCTCTCTTCTTCTCTTTTAGAGATAGAAGAGCTTAGCAGCTAAGAAGAGCTCTCTCTCTCTCTCTCTCTCTCTCTCTCTCTCTCTATTTTAGAGAGAGAAGGGCTTAGCAGCTAAGAAGAGCTCTCTCTATTTTAGAGAGAGAAGAGCTTAGCAGCTAAGAAGAGCTCTCTCTCTCTCTCTCTCTTAGAGGTAGAAGAGCTTAGCAGCTAAGAAGAGCTCTCTCTCTCTCTCTCTCTATTTTAGAGACAGAAGAGCTTAGCAGGTAAGAAGAGCTCTCTCTCTCTCTCTCTCTCTCTCTCTCTCTATTTTAGAGATAGAAGAGCTTAGCAGGTAAGAAGAGCTCTCTCTCTAATTTAGAGATAGAAGAGCTTAGCAGCTAAGAAGAGCTCTCTCTCTCTCTCTCTCTCTCTCTCTCTCTCTCTATTTTAGAGATAGAAGAGCTTAGCAGGTAACAAGAGCGCTCTCTCTCTCTCTCTCTCTCTCTCTCTCTCTTTTAGAGACAGAAGAACTTAGCAGGTAAGAAGAGCTCTCTCTCTCTCACTTTCAGTGATAAAGAGCTTAGCAGCTAAGAAGAGCTCTCTCTCACTCTCTCTCTCTCTCTCTCTCACTCTATTTTAGAGATAGAAGAGCTTAGCAGCTAAGAAGAGCTCTCTCTCTCTCTCTTTCTCTATTTTAGAGATAGAAGAGCTTAGCAGCTAAGAAGAGCTCTCTCTCTCTCTCTCTCTCTCTCTCTCTCTCTCTCTCTTAGAGGTAGAAGAGCTTAGCAGCTAAGAAGAGCTCTCTCTCTC